GCAGGATCCTGGGGTCGGACCCTGTTACAGCGGCCGGCGTGCGTAAATCCATAACACTGGTCCCAGGGAAACTTCCTCTGGCCCCAGCAGCACCTCAAAGCCCCAGGTGCCTTGCTGAGGCACCTGCCTTACAGCCCCCCCCCAGTTGCCCACCACCATTGCAGTGCTTCTCCTTGGTGCTGTGCTCAGGAAGGCTGAGGTTACTGGCCCAAGGGGCTGCTTTCCCGGTGGCCAGTGGGTCCCCGTGCTGTAAGGGAGACCCAGCCTGGGGTGGTGTTTTGGGCCCCTTGCCACCCAATGTTTCAGCCAGGTGGCATTTTGGCCTTCCTCTCTTGCTGTGTTTCACTTCCCAGCAAGGCCCCATGCCCGGCGTTGTTGGCAGCTGCAGCCACCAGCAGTTTGTACCCTAATTTTGTTAGGAATCAGGACAAATTCCTCTGCCCCAAAATCCCCCAGTCCTGTTTCTCCTAAAGCCTTTCTTATCCGTGACTCCTCAGACACCCATAGCATGGCTGAACTGTCACCAGGTGGTTTTGCAGCTGGTCAGGCAGCTAAGAGCCACGCCAGCCTCTTCAACCCTTTTTCTTTGCATTCCCTAAGCTCTAGCCCTGCTCCGACCTGCCCCGGGCTGGTCGTCAGCCCTCGAGGGAGCTTTGCCTTTCTCCAACCACTTGGACCAGTTTTTCTGGGATGCGTGGGGAGCCGGTGTCATCCCATAAAGCGCAAACGACTGGTGGTGAAAACATAATTGTCCCTTTGCTCCTTTTCTGGTGCTGCCTGGTTTTGACACTGGCTGTTGGTGGCTTCTGCGGGCTCAGGGAGGCAGAGAGCTTGACCCACACAGCTGTGGGATCCTGGGGAATGGTTTAAAACACTTGTTGGGTGGCAGCTGGGGAAAACAAGGAGGGAAACAAGGTGCTGCTTTGGGGGAATGAGGGCGCCGATGGTGCAAAGCAAAGCACCCATTTAGGGCCACCCTGGTCACGTCTGCATTAGGGACTGGTCGCACTGGTGAGCTCTGATGGGGCTAAAACTGGGGTGCCAACCTTGGGGGCTCTACTCAGGAGTACCAGGGGTGGGGAAAGTTATTTGCTTTGGGTAAGGACTGAGTTTCCTTTCTCTCAGCCTTTGTTTAATGCTTGTGCTGGCATCAAATGAAGGGAAACCCAAGTGGCGCCAGCTACACCCTCAAAGCAGCAGATGGGCTTATCCAGCCCCTGCCCACCGGGCCCGGGAGCTGAAGCTGCTTCTAAGGGCCAAGAGGGGCCGGGGAAGGGGCTGTACTGCCACTGGAATAGAAATCGGCGCAGCCGCCATCCATCAGGTTCCTAAGCGAATGCAAACCGTCCTGACGGACCTCAGGAGAAGTGCACAAAGCACGCAGGCATTTTATTTTAAATAGCAAGTGATTTACTGAGGCTGGGAGACCTCAGGCCCTTAGACCCAAACCATAAACCCCCGCCCAGCCTCAGTGCTGTACGGCTCTGCCCTAGCCCTGGCCAGGTGTGCGGCCCGCGTTACCAGAGGGCCCACAGGGCAGTCGGGCAGGGTCCCCCCCGGGCCTGCCCTAAGGCGTCAGTGCGGGGGAACCCACCACAGCGCTGGGAGCGCACATAGGCAGGGGGAGG